CTGCGGAGTGGGGGAACGTGCTCCTCCGTCGGCTCCTTGACACGGGCGCAGCCGCCCCCAGCAGCTCTCCACCTTCGCCCTGACGCTCTACAAGCACCGTGCTCGGGTGGACGGGCGGGCCATCCTCGTGGGTAAGTGGGGAGTGCCCTGCTAGGTCTTCCGCGGGCCCCGTAGGCCCGGGGGCAGGGCGACACCGGCTCTGTGCAGAGGGAGAAACAGCGACGGTGCTGTTGGCATACGCAGCAATACGCGGACCCAAAAATATGGCGGGGGAGTTCCTTGCAGTGGGAAGGGGTTGCCAAAAAATGGTTTGTAGGTGGGAAAATGGGTGAATGAAAGGATCACAATCACAGAATGACTGAGAGTGGAAGGGACCTCTGGAGGTCATCCTGTCCAACCCTCTGTCCAAGCAGGGCCACCTACAGCCAGTTGCCCAGGACAGTGTCTAGATGGCTTTTGAATGTCTCCAAGGAGGCAGACTCTACAGCCTCCCTGGGAAATGTGCTCGTGCTCAGTTACCCTCACAGTGGAAAAAGTGTTTCCTGATGTTCAGAGGGAACCTCCCATGTTTCAGTTAGTGCCTGCTGCCTCTGCCCTTGACACTGGGCACCATTAGAAAGAGCCTGGCTCCATCTTCTTTAGACTCTTCCTTCAGGTATTTATAGTCATTGATGAGATCCCCCCTGAGCCTTCTCTTCGTTAGGCTATAAAGTCCCAGCCCTCTCAGCCTTTCCTCACAGGAGAGATGCTGCAGTCCCCCTGGTCGGACAGCTCGCATGACTGGAGTGCTGTCATGGATGGCTACACACTATTTAGGAAAGACAGGCCAGCAAGGCGAGATGGTGGAGTTGCTCTGTATGTGAGGGAGCAACTGGAATGTATTGAGGTCTTCCTGGGGGCGCATGAAGAATGAGTCGAGAGCTTATGGGTTAGAATTAAGGGACAGGCTCATATGGGTGACATTGTTGTGGGTGTGTACTACAGGCCACCTGAGCAGGATGAGGAAGTTGCTGAGGCCTTCTACAGACAGCTGAAAGTAGTGTTTGAGTCACAGGCCCTGGTTCTCATGGGCAACTTCAACCACTCTGACATCTGCTGGGAAGACCACATAGCCAGGCACACGCAGTCCAGGAGGTTCCTGCAGAGCATCAATGATAACTTTCTGATGCAAGTGGAGGAGGAGCCAAGGAGGAGAGGCATGCTGCTGGACCTTGTACTGACAAACAAAGAGGGACTGGTTGAGGATGTGAAGGCTGGCGACAGCCTCGGCTGCAGTGACCATGAAATGGTGGAGTTCAGGATCCTGCGTGGAGGAAGCAGGGCAATAAGTAGGATCAAAACCTTGGACTTCAGGAGAGCTAACTTTGGCCTCTTCAAGGACCTACTTGGAGGAATCCCGTGGATCAGGGCTCTAGAAAGCAGGGGAATCCAAAAGAGCTGGTTGCTGTTTAAGCATCACTATCCACTAGATCAGGTTGCTCAGAGTCCCGTCCAACCTGACCTGGAATGTTTCCAGGGGTGGGGCCTCCGCAACCTCTCTGGGCAACCCGTTCCAGTGTTTCACCACCTTCATGGTAAAAACTGTCTTTCTTATGTCTAGTCTGACTCCACCCTCCCTTAGTTTAAAGTCATTACTCCTTGTCCTGTCTCAACAGGCCTGGCTAAAAAGATTTTCCCTTCTTTCCTGTAGGCCCCATTCAGGTACTGGAAGACTGCAATAAGGTCTCCCTGCAGCCTTTTCTTCCCCAGGCTGAACAACCCCAACTCTCTCAGCTTTTCCTCGTAGGAGATGTGCGCCAGCCCTCTGATCATTTTTGTGGCCCTCCTCTGGACCCGCTCTAACCGCTCCACATCCTTCATTTGTGGAGGGCTCCAGAGCTGGATGCAGGACTCCAGGCGGGGTCTCACCAGAGCGGAGTAGAATGGCAGAATCACCTCCCTCGACCTGCTGGAAACACTTCTTTTGATGCAGCCCAGGATACAGTTGGCCTTCTGGGCTGCGAGCGCACATTGGTGGCTCATGTCCAGCTTTTCACCCAACAGTGCCCCCAAGTCCTTCTCAGCAGGGCTGCTCTCAATCCCTTCATCCCCCAACCTGTATTGGTAGCAGGCGTTGCCCCAACCTAGGTGCAAGACCTTGCACTTGGCCTTGTTCAGCTTCCTGAGTTTCACACAAACGCACTTCTTGAGCTTGTCCAGGTCCCTCTGGATTGCCATCCTTCTGGCGAGTCAGCTACACCACCCAGCTTGGTGTCATCTGCAGACTTGCTGAGGGTGCACTCGATCTCGCTGTCTAAGTCATTGATGCAAATGTTAAACAGCACCCGTCCCCGTACGTACCCCTGAGGGAAACCACTTGTCACCAGTGTCCATCTGGACATTGAGCCATTGACTACTACCCTCTGGCTGCAACCTTCCAACCAATTCCTTCTCCACTGAACAGTCCACCCGTCAAATCCATATCTCTCCAATTTAGCGAGAAGGATGTTGTGGGGAACCGTGTCAAAGGCCTTACAGAAGTCCAGAGAGATGACATCCGTAGCTTGGCTCTTGTCCACTTTTGAATGGCTTTGTCTTACTGTCCTTTATCAGTCATGTCTACTGATGGCTTCTCTCTTGCTAATATGTCTATAGCAATGTCCCATGTCAGCACAACTTGTAGCTAAGCCTAGCTAAGAAAGGGTCTTAGTTTTGCATAATTTCTTAGACCTGGAGTGTTTCAGATTAGTGAGGTGAAACCTAATTTGTGACCCTCAGTAGACGGACTGGCCTTTGTGTCCTGGGTTTAAGCTGTGCGGAAAACAGAACTTGGAAAGCTGTGTCATTCTAAGCTTGTTTTGTGTGTCTTACAGACTTCTGGGACACAGCTGGACAGGAGAGGTTCCAGAGCATGCATCCATCCTATTACCATAAGGCTCATGCTTGTATCATGGTAAGGGTGGTGTCTCAGCTGTGATCTGATGGAATTTTGACTAATAACCGTCCCAGCTGACACTTGGCCTGCACGTTACTTCTTATGATTACGCTGCCATGTTTTTGTCTCTTCCAATGGTCTAAAAAACTTTCCTATACTGTTCTTCCTTCTCCCACCAGATAAAACTGGTGTAGTTTGGTATGTTTAGCTCTCTTCTGTCTTTCCCGATAGCCCTCTTACTATATTCCCTGGCTTTGCTGTCTTCTAAATTTCCTTACTTTTGTCACTGTGTTTCCAGTAAGGTGGTACATACAACTGAATGTACATATTTAGAAGCAGTCCTGTCAGAGATGATGTGAGGGAGAGGGCACTCCTTTCTTGTTCTGTGATGTGACTGTTGGATTATGGAGTAGAAGACTGTTCTGACTTGTTCTGCGGGGGTACTACAGAACACATTCTTCTCTGGTCTTCTGCCTTTCTATTTTCCCATGCTTTGGTGCTTCCCATTGATTAGCTCAAATCAGTCTTGTCTCCTGAGTCCTAACCCGCTTAGGTCTCTTGGTTTGTATTGTTGTTCTAACTCGCCACTATTTCTCATCACTTGTGAGCATCCCTCAGCTTCGCTGATGTTTTAGTTGTCAAAATGGCAAAGCCTCATATCTGACCCTACTTAGCAGAACAGATCTTTCCCCTGTGCTTGTTCACTGTCGTGGGTGACAGAGTGCTTGCCACAGTACAAAATAAGAATGTAAAGGAAACCGAGGGACTGTTTCCTGCATCATGTAAAGAAATGGGCTGGCTGCATGTTTCTCCCTTTTCTCTTTCGTCCTTCCTAACAAAGGCCAGTTTCCTTTGTTGATGTCCTCCTGGGAAAATTCTGGATTCTGTACTTGTGTTTGGGGCAGTGGGCTGATCAGGAGCTGTCCTGCTGTTGGCCCCATGATAGCTGGTTCTTTTTTGGAAGGTGTTTGATGTGCAGCGGAAAGTCACCTACAAGAACTTAAACATCTGGTACAAGGAGCTGAGAGAATTCCGCCCAGAGATTCCTTGCCTTGTGGTGGCCAATAAAATTGATGGTGAGTATATCTTCTTCTTTCAGCCCCTCAGGACTGTGATGTGATTCTCTTCTGACGCGGCTGAGAAAGAATGTTGCTCGTCTGTTAGGTCCAGATGAGTTCTCGAGTATTAGGCTGTATTTTGCCAAACGAATAGCTGGGTCCTCTACTGACCTTGCATGCTGTCTTATAGGCACTTGTCCTTGTTTTAGTAGCAATTCGAAAGACAAATTTGATCCATTGAAAGTTTATTCAAGTGACGTCCTTCCAGTTCTGTCCTCACCATGCTGCGCTTTTCATCCATCAAGAACCCAAAAGCTGGTTGGAGCAGTACCTAGTCAACATTGCAGGATGTGCTGCTGGGAAAGGAGCATTACCTGTTACGTGGCTTCCCCTGGTATAGTCAGCAACTGCCTTTGTATTGCTAATTCAGCCTGCAGGTTTCCGTGGGACTCCTCTGTGCTAAAGTGTCTAAATATAGCTGCTGGCAAAATTGTTCATCTTCCTCTGCAGATGACTGGATGATTCCCTCCCGTTAGGAATGCCAGCTAAGCATTCATTATTGCCATCATTTGGGTTGTGATCTGTCTTCTGCATCCTGTGAGAGCGCATAACATCAGCTTTCTGCTCAGCATCAACGAGAGAACACGTAGCCTTAGGACCACAGTCTGCTGCCATTCTCTGTCAAGCACAGTGTCATCATCATAGAATGCTTTGGGTTGGAAGGGACCATCTAGGAAGGGATCATCTAGTTCCAGCCCCTGCTGACATCCATGGTAGAAATCATTGCAGCTATGACTAGGTGTGCCCACCTCAGTAAAGTGCCTGGGCTCCCACTGCAGTCTATGGAAGCTCATTCGGTTCAGTGGTGTGGCTTAGGGCATGATTGATCTTACCTAATAAAAGCCTTTCCTATAGGATGTGTCAAGCCAGCCCTGAATCCGCTGGTTGCACAGACTGTACAGGAAGTCCAAGGCAGGTGGACTTGGTGTTGACAGCCCTATTGTAGACAGAACCTCTGTGTAGATGAATCCTGCTCTTAGCGTTCTGTGTGTGAGTGGACACTGCTCCAAGAGAGTCTTCTGCCTTGCCTTTGTTTGCTGTGTTCTACCTGGACTAGGAAATGATCAGCCCACAGCTCTTAACACAGGCCCAGTCTGCACCACAGTTGATCCAGCTTCCTGCGGAGAGGTAGGGAGCGGCTGCCTGGGCAGTGCTCACTGGTAAGCTTTTCGACTCTGAACTAGTTTAGCTGTTGCTTCTGTGAGGAAAGGCGGGTGGTCTCGAGCCATCCTCCTGTGCGAGCATACAGGCTGTCTCTCTAGCAAAACTTTGAGCTGTTACTGCTGTGTCAGCACGTCCTGTAAATACGCAGCAGATGTGTTCCAAAACTGAAATAAAGCCTCTGGCTTACTGAGGTTGGGGTAGCTGGACCTAACTGCCTGTTAAGTAAAATGTGTAACAGTTGAGTCATTTGTATGCTGTGAGCGTGCCCTTGACTCACAGGAATATAGGTAACATGGCATAAGGGCAGTGGGGAGTTCCGGTTAAAAAGGCCAGACTGGAGGGAGAGGCATGACTAGCACTAGCAGCGGTGTCCAGGTCATGCGGACACGCAGCAAAAATGAGAGGCAGGTGCCTGGAAAACATTCCTAGTTGCTGCACAGCAAGGGAACTGACGTATTCTAAGCTGCAAAGCATTTTTCATTTATAGCACATCACAATCCATCCATAATTTACTCAAGCACCATGGATAAACCAACAAGAACTCTGCTGGCTTTTCGGGGAGGACTCTACTAGCCTTGTACTAAAGTGAGGTGGCCTTGACGGCTAAATGGGGCTCTGGTCTCCATCTGTTCCACCCCTCCTGCATATGTTGGCATTCTGCCTACAGTGATGTCTTACTGACCACTTCTCCTTTTTTTGCCCCCAGCGGATACAAAGGTGACCCAGAAAAGCTTCAACTTTGCCCGGAAGTTCAGTTTGCCCTTTTACTTTGTGTCCAAGCGGCACCAATGTAGGAAAGGTAAAACATAGCTCTTGGGCTAAGCATCCATGAGAGCCCTAGACAGTCCAAGGACATGGAGACTGCTGTAGGCACAGAGAGCAGAAAATGGGCTAAGAACATCTGTTTGGTCCTGGTAGCTGTAGGTAGTTGCAGAGGTCTGTGTTTGTTTATTTTTTCTTGGGGTGTGGGAACATTTTCCGCGTGTTACAGAAAGCCAGTGCTCCTTACTTTGAGTGACAAGCATTCTCCTTCTCGTCAGCTCTTCAACGATGCTATCAAACTGGCAGTTGCTTACAAACAGAATTCAGCAGATTTCATGGATGAAGTCATGCGAGAACTGGAGGTAAGAAAGGCTCTACTTACGGCACTCCTCCTAAGTGATTAGCAGCTCTGCTCTTTTTTCCCTCCGGGAAAGCAGAGCCTGTAGCAGTGGGTGAAACTTTGCAGGCATGGAAAGATTTGCCTTATGCTGGTGACACAGGGAGGTCTGTGTGCTGCTCGTGGCTAAGCTGGAAGGGGTGAGGTGGTGACCCTCTGAAGAGCCCACGGTGCCCTAGACTGAATCTGAAAGAACCACAGCAGAGTGTAGCTGTTGCTCTCGCGCTTCTCAGCAGTTCCTTGTCCTGCTCCTTTCCAGAGCTTTGACCTGCAGAAGAACAGTGAGAATTTGTCGGATACGGAGGAGAGCTGCCCCGAAGAGAAGCCCCCATCTGCCTAAGGCGCAGACCCCAAGCCTGTTTTCCCCTTTGCTGTAGACTTCTGGGGCTAGTTAGAGCTGGCCTTCACAGAGGAGAGTGATTTTTTTCATGCCCAAGAGCTCTGGTAAAGGGCAGCTGGGCCTCTCGCCTTCTTGCGCGAGACTGTCTGGGCATGACCTTCCTTGACTCGGCCCTAGCCACTGCACTTCCGGGTCGAGGAAAGGGCCAGAGTAGCCACATGCTTGCTAGTTACTGCATGCTTCTTCAAGGCCAAGCTTGCCAGGAGAGCTAAGCCACTCTTGGACCGGCAGCGAAGGGTCCTGCCCAGATGCTTTATTGGTACCTACTGGAGAAAAGAAACACT